ATCTTGGTTTTTCGCTCGATCAACATCGTTTATGTTCTCATTTAGTTAGCTAGTTTTAGCCTTGTTATTAAACCTCGTGGTTCAGTGTATTGGTCTATCTTTATTACTAACTGGCGCCTGTTAGTCAGCTCATTCCGCATTCGTTTAATTGCGTTTAATTATGTCAACACAAATATTTAGTTGGTATGTTTTTGGGGTAAAAATACTTAGCTTCCATGCCCCTTTTCGTAAGAGCCTGGTGTCTTTTAGGGGATTTTTTTTTTAATTTCCGACGATCAACTTAACCCTAAATACGAGGGAGTTCCCCAGAATCACGTCTCACCGGCTCATCGTTTACCATTAGTAAATTATAGTTTAGAGCTAAAATTCAACTCATTTTTAGCGAACTTTTATAAGAACATGTTATCAGTTATAACCTCCTTCACCATTTCCTGTGTGTCATAGTGCCATGCAGGCGATCCTAATATTGCTGTTTTAGAACTATAGAAGTACTGCAGCTACGTAACCTCACGCTTTTTTATTGATTTTCCTCATTCTTCTAATACCTTCATTCGTTTATATCAATAKGTGAAAATAGCTTTGATAAATGTTTGTTGATAGATAGGTTGAGTCGTACCTACTCGCTTTTCGCAAACTACTATCACAATATTCACCGAAAAATTGCGCTCATAGAGCAACCTCTCKCAAAGTTGACATAACAAAAATCAGTAGTCGGTCCTTGAATATAACTTGAATAAAACTAATATCGCATAGAGAAATCACCAGGTCCTCGAACTGTAACGTGGATAAAAGTTCAGTCGCTGGCGCATTTAAAGACCGTTTCCGGTCCTCCGGCCGGACTGGTCATAGTAAAGCGTACCATTACTTTGAAAACAAAATACACTTTATTGAAATTGAATCCCTTTACTTAGAGAGTCATAATAAACATATTACAAAGACTCGAGACTTTCAGAGGTCCGTTTGATCTAATTCCTTCATCAAATCCTCCATGATCTCGTCTTCATAYTTTCGGTCATCAGTGTGTTTGGGTTTAGCATCTTCCTTTCTCATTGGCAACGGGTTTTTGGATTTTTTATGAAGAAGTCCAGCTCTTCTTCGTCTTCGCCAGGCATCGCTATGAGTAGAAAAATCAGAATTGTTCTTTGTTCACTCAAACTGTGCAAAGCAATCGAAAAGGTCGATTTCATCTGTCTTTGCAACACGACTGACAATGAAAAAGTGTACTACAATGTTTTGAACAATTTATTGAGAGAGGGTTTCCTTTTAGGTTTTTTTAATCCTTGATCAATTTTTTTGGTATTCTTTTATAGAAAGATCAATTTCACAAGTAATCAGCGCAGATCATGAAATCAATGTCATGCTTGCTGATTCTTAAAACATCACAGCATTGATTCATTTGATAATAATCAGTTCCATGATATGCATGACAGGGTWCATTACCTTTCATGAAGAGTTGTTAGCAAAACCAGTATCAGCACAATCACGATCAACTTGCTATTCATCTAAAATAAACAACGGTTTTAGTATAACAATCCAAATGTTTGTGTTAAGAAACATTTTATTGTGTGAAAGATGAAGTTTGAAAAACTGTTTTGGACAGTTCTAGCAGTTGTCCGCTTCATTGCCTTCTTTCAAGTGGTCAACAGTGTTTATGAAGGAGATTACCAATGCAAATTACAGAAATTAGCTCGTATCTAAATTCTTCTTGAGCTCTTTATGAATTTTCTATCCTTTCAGCTTTGCAGGAGAAAACTAGTTTTTCAAACTTTATCTTTTGAGCTAGACTAAGTTATCGTTAATCAATATTCGGAATATTTGTAGTATCATACATTTTAAAAGCTCTTGATGCGCATGGATATTTCATATCAGGTCAATATGTAACCGAGGTGGGTGGGAAGAATTACAGATCACGGTTTTTTTCAGGAGTCAGGATCAGCATCATTTACCGTAGGGGCTCAAGTTCAGATTAGACGAAAAACACAAATGGAAACCCATTAATCCCTCTTGCAGCAAAAACGATTGATGTGTTAGCGTGACTTATAGCATGTTTAGGATTATATTCAATCTTTTTGGTTGGCGATAATTTCCTTCTTCAATTAGGTATTCGGACCACATAAGTCAAATGGGAAACTTACCTTAACAGGAGAATTGGCACTTTGCTCTCAGCTTCAAGTGAACTTCTGATGTCGCTGTATTGATGGTTTTCAACCATTCCCATGAGAGTGAGCAAAACAAAAAGGTCCACCAGTTACGTTAGTGGTTTTCTTTTGTCAGGTCCACCAGCAATGGCGGACGACATCTTTTGTTTAACTTTCTCTCCTGGGAATGGTTGAAAACCATCAATTTGAATGAAGTTGGAACAAACAAAACTTTGCCATAAATAACCTATGCATGCAATAGAGTGGAACCAAGTCAAAGAAGTTGCACTCTATTGACTTAAAATAAAAGTCAAACCCGTATTGATTGGTTTATTAACCAAGGCTTTCGTGCCTTTGGCACATCTTCAGGTCGAACAAATACAATTTTGTATTGATTCAATTCGCCCTTGAGGCGAATAACCAATCAATACTTGGTTGACACCTACTTTTAGTTAATAGGGTGGAACGTCTTTACATTTGGCAGAACAGAAGGAGGATTAATTAGTTCCTTGCATGATGAAAATCACATAAAGAAAATGACTTTTTTAATAGGAATATCAGGCACTGGTCCTAGGGAACAACTAGAAAGCTAGAGGGTCAGAGTTCTGTTATTTAGTTTGAAAAAGATATAATGGATTTGCATTTTCAAAATGATCATGAAATACTAATCTTGAATAGTAAACACATACACACTGGTAAGAACACACGCAGAAACACACAATATGGCAATTCAATCATGAAATGATTTCACGCTGTAACAGCGTGAAGTTTGGCTAGCTAATATAGTGCATAATGGAAAATAGAGAAATAATAACATAGTCATATTCACATAGATTTGTAATCTAAGAAAAGGTTTTTTGTAATTGAGGAAAAAAATTTGGAATCTTCGATAAATAAACTGCAGGAAAAGCTAGAAAATGACTCAATCATCGAAAGTCAAAAAGCAGCAACTAAAAAAGAACTTTAAGAAAAAATAAAAAAGCTCGAAAGACTTATTGAATACAAAACAAAAGGTGCCATTTTAAGGTCAAAATGTAGTTGGTATAATGAAGGTGAAAAAAATACAAAATACTTTTTAAACCTTGAAAAACGGCACTATAATAACAACGTAATTTGCCAATTGAAGATTGGCAGGGAAGAATATTACGCTTCATCAGACAAAGACATTTTATGTGAATGTGAAAACTTTTATAAGGACTTATATAGTTCAAAAAATAATTTAGCACGATCATCTGAGCACGAAATCGCCGTTTTTGAAAATTTAAATTTAACGATTTTATGCGACGAAGAACAAAATTATTGCGCTTACCATCAGAGTTCTATAAAACCTTTTGGGATGACATATCCGAAATTTTTTTCGACTCTATAATAAATTACGCCTATCTAAATGGTCATTTCTCAATTAGCCAAAGGCGGGGGTTAATTAAATTAATACCAAAAAAAGACATCGAGCCTTATTATGTTAAAAACTGGCGTCCAATAACGCTTCTAAACTGTGACTATAAAATTGTTGCGAAAGCTCTTGCTAATCGGCTTAAAACCTTTCTTCCGAAATTAATTAATAGTGACCAAACCGGTTTCATTAAAGGCAGAACTATTGGTGAAAATATTAGATTGATCGATAGTACCATTAAATATGCTACCAAAGAAAACCTCCCTGGATTACTTCTTTTTCTTGATTTCGAAAAAGC